AGTGAATAAATTATAAAAATTTAATTTCAACAATACAATAATAGTTTTTTTTTTTTTTTTTTTTGCTACAATTTTTACAGCATAATTTTTAGAAATTTCTTATTTATACCAGTAATAAAAAAAAAAATGATGATTTACAGTAAAGATAACAAACAATAAGAATAAAAACAAAAAAAAAAAAACTTTATATGCTGACCTGTCGAAGTGCTTGCAACAATAACGATGAAGTACGATGAGCCATATTTTTGACAATAAATGTCTTTATTTTATTTATATTTAAATAGTCCACTAACCTTTTATTTGTCAAAATTAAACTGCTGAAAAAGTTGATTTATGATACCGGAGAAAACCGTGTTAATGGTTTTCTGTAAAGGATCAAACATAGAGTAGAGGCAAAAATTTTTCTACAATAAAGAAAAGCGACAATCTACAAACGCTGTTTCGTTTTTGACTCTTTTGTTTTTGAATGTTGAAGGTTTAGACTGATAATTGTATTAGACAAATACTTAAAAAACTAAAACGTTAAAAAAAAAAAACAAAAAAAAAAAGTATATTAAAACAAGTTTTCTGTACCCAAAATTGTCGTATTCAACATTAGCTGATTGTGTCGTTTTTGGATCAGCAGGAATCAAATTTTCTGTCGACAAACTATTACATTTTTTGTTCATTGTTTCTGAGTAATTTGTTGATTCCACATTAATTGTCGTGGATATACTACGCGTCATTTTCTGTAAATATTATTATAACATACAGTATCGTATGTTCAAATTTTTAAACAAGATATCACAGTGTTACTTAGAAAAAATTTCTTACTTTTTATTGGTATTTGCAATACCATCAGTAAAGAATGTTCATATAAATGTTACCGCTATAAAACAACTTACTGCAAATGGACTTCTTTTCATACGACTTTCAGCTTCAAAATTATTTTCTATCAAGCGATTTGCTAATGTTGACAGATAAACCTGTGATACCTGTAAAACTGTAGTCATCGACTGTAAACACAGAAGACGTATAAGCAGAAAACAAAACTTTGAACATTTGCAATAGAATGTTTCAATCAACACAGCTCTTTATGAATTTCTCAAGAGAAACCACCTTTTTCCCCTGGTTGCAACGTTCTAAGCAGACCAACAATTCAGAAGCAATATCCGAAACTTTGTAGTAATCGTCTTGAAGTGTCTTATAGTCTTCACTGTACGCTCTTAGTATCATAACGTTTTCGAACGGTTCCTGTAATATTTTGCAATCTTTACTCACGTTTAGTATCAATAAAATTTGTAGAGCAGTAAAAATGTTGAAAAAACGTTTCAGAATTATTAACAGCAGCAGTAAAGCGGCAAGAAAAATTGGTTGGCAAAACTGAAAACTTTGTTCCTTAAATATGCTAGAAAAACACGGGTCTATTATAGTTGCCATTTTGCATAAGGTTCAACGGTTTAATGGCAACTAATTAACTGAGACGGAAGTGAAAATTGAGGTATAAACAGTTTTCAAAACTGGTACTACCATTTACCTTTAAAAAAATGTAAGATATATATTGCATTTAAAAAAAAAATGAAATCTTTTGACCGAAAAAAGTGTTAAAATGATTACCCCTAATCAAATCTACATAATTTATATTAAATAATAAATGACACCCTGTTTTTTTTCGCTTTATTCGGTCATAGAAACATAATAAAGAAATTTTGATGGAACTGCAGATTTGTAGACGTTTTGATAACAGATACAGTTGTTTCTGTTTTTTTTTTTTTCTTACAAAAATATCAACAATTTAAGGTGTCTATCAATAAATTTTCAATTTTAAGATTATTGTAAGCGATGTTTTTGAAAGCAAGCTTGCGTTGTTCATCAGACTAAACTATATTTCTGTTCCAATTTTTAATATTGAAAACAAGAAAAGCTTGTGAAATCTGTTTCAATAAAAAAAATTTTTTTTTGTTAAATCTGAAAAAAAAAAA